ATCATGTTCTTATCATACAGATGACAAATATTAAATTGAAATCAGTCTCTTAGAAAATTCCCCCATGTTGAGAAATGTAGTATAGTAATTTCTTGTTCAACTGATCAAAGGCAGGCAGAAATAAGTTGGCAAATCTTCCAGAATCTTGGCTACATTTTTCTTTTGAAAAATAGCTTCTGGAAGCTTAGATTTCTCAGGGCTTAGAGAAAATTCAGAAAGCTGTAAATGTGTTTAACCAGATACTTTCCCTATGACATGTCCTTTCTTAGAAAGGTTCTGGGAGGACAAGAGGTACTACAGTAACACGTCCCCTCAGCCTCTCCACCCTGGAAACTTTCTGGCTGGCTGGTCAAAGGCAGCTGCAGCCTAGGTGCCAAGAGAGCCCTGGTCATCAGGACTTTCGAGTCTAATAGTAGAAGCTAGAACAGAACAGGACCTTGTCTACCCAACATCAGCACACGGCTGAGTTCTACTCATAACTGTCCTGAGTTCACTGCATGAAGACTCATCAGATTCTTTTCTCTTCCTGGGATTGGCAACGTGAGCAAAGGCCTGCCAATGCTTTAAAACTGCTATAAGAATACCTGGATTTCATAGAAATTATAAGCTAACAGTAAAGGGATACCAGGACCCACTAGCCAGAGTAATTCGTTCAGGGTACAAAAGCTCCTATGACATTCCTGGCATGCTGTGTGGTAGACAACAAGATGCTTCCTCACTGTAAGGTAATCTGCAGTCAGCTAAGAAAATAAGGCACATGCATATGAAACAACACAACAGGCAAAGCAGCAAGAATGCCAACTGCCTGCTACACACAGTAAGCACACACAAATCAAGAGTTCAGAACCCTGTGATCTACCTCCCTGAGCTGTAACTTAAGACATGTCTTAGCCATGTTAACAGAGAAATTTTATTGAGCTGATTTCAAGGCTCAACTAAAGAATAATCAGAAGAGCACTCCTGTATAAAATAGGAAAGCATAAAATAATAGGGATGAAAACATTCTCTCTTTTGGAAAGTAAGAAATGACAGAGTAATCTATTTCACTGTTGAATGCCTTGCATCTAGTGGAGTCTTAAATGGATCTTTTGATTTGACTAAGCAATAAACAGTCCATTTCAGCGTTAACTATTAACACTTGTGTTTAAGGAAAAGGCAAACTAATATTTAGAAATAAATAAACTCAAGCTCAAAGTATTCAGAAGTCCTCAAACATGTTCTCTTACTTGGGCTGAGTCCAACCAGCTCACCTATAAATATTACTTGTTTGGCAAAAATGTCCAAGAAGAGGATAGTGGAAACACAACCAGGGAAGAATTAATCTGCTTTTCGGTAAAAGTTTTCAATTTATTACAAGCTCCCCTGGAACTGAAGATCCCAGGAGCACTCAGCAAGAGATGTGAAGAGACTTGCAATGTCACGCCATCACCTGGCAGAGGTTGCGGCCTGGACTCCCTCTGACCACTGTGCCAGCCCCTAGCTAACCAACAAGACTCTCAATTCAGTGAAGTAACATACAGGAGCAAAACAAATTCTAATCCTTTGGCATGACAGTCCCCTAGACTAGACCAACTTCACAGTTAAAAACAAAACAAAACAAAACAAAAACCAGTGAACAATTTCTCAGTTACGAATGGGCCACATCATTTGTAAGCTACGTTTTGTTTTACAAAATATATGAACTCAGAAGCAAGAACAAAATTAGGCTGGACAATATTGGAAAATGTTTGTTTTTATTTATGGTGCTGCCATAGACTATGGCCAGTGTGGCAGGAGGTACAAAAAAGCTTTTTAATAAATCAGTTAGTTATTTATTTTATATCTTTAGGGTCACAAAACAATGCAAATCACAAGGCATGGCCTCCAAGTAATTGCTAGTAAAATGCACACCAACCTTGAAAATATTAGAGTACACTGTAACCAGAAACTTCTGTAGAAAATTCTAACCAAAACACAAATTATTATTAAGTAGGTATCATAAATAGAAGAAAATAAAATTCAAACTTTTTAGCCTGGCCAAGGCATTGGTGGTATAGTGGTTAGTATAGTTGCCTTCCAAACTTCTCAGCCTGGATTCAAAACCTTTCAGAAGCACATTTTCCTTTTGTTTATTTTGTTCTTATTTTTCCAGTTCTCTTCTATAGGAATTCTGTTCACGTTAAACTGGCCAGTTTACACATTGCATACACATCCCTTTTTCTGAACATTTACTCCAGCCATTTCTCCTCTCCAAATTGCCTCTCCCTCAGCTCTGCCCTTGTGTCTTTCTGGACTGCAAATTTCTGCCTAGCCCTGGCTGACCCCCTCTGCTTCCCTGGAAGCCCACTGCATTTATTCCCTTATGCATCAACAGCTATCTACTGATCTGAATAATCACTTCAACAATGGGGCGGGGGGGGGGGGGCAGGGCAGAAGAGGAGGCTTTCAGTTGTTTACGCTCACAAATGATTTACTTACTCATAAAGCAAGTATTTTTATGAACACTACTGTTTACAGGATACTATGCCAGGGTCCATGAAGAATGCCAAGATAGAACTTGCCAAGAATGCCAAGATTTACTTTCAAAGAGCCTAGAAGCTAGTCAGGAAAATAAGACTAATACCCAAATCATCATAACTAATACAACCTAGGTAATTATCAATACTCCACTGTAGGTTCTGCTAAAGGGGGCGGGATCACTTAGTGCTACATAGGGAGCAGAGAAGAACTCCGGGAGGAAGTGGCAGCTGGGTGGAAAAGCAAGGAGACCGACAACATATTTCTTTAATAAGCTTTAACAAAGGCAAGGAGGGGGCAGAGCTCAGGAAGTTAATGGAGGTAGCAAGGGGTGATACTTTAAAACTCATGTGTGTTGTACAGAAATGGAGCAAATGGGAGAGTGATTTTTGTTATAAACTGAGAGGAATGAAACATTTTAAGGAATTCAGGGGTCAGCACATTCTAATATCACTGTATTAGGTAGCATGTTAAGTAACCAAGAGACATGGGAAGATTTCACAGGCTAATTATGATCTCTGAGAAAAACTTGTATTATCACAGTGATGTTTTATGATGTTGATTTTTAACTGAATGGTATCCAACACAGTAAAGCCTCCTTAACTAGAAGTGATACAAAGAGCTCAATTAACACACACTGAGCATTCTTCTATGTGTTCCATGATTAAGGCATGAATTTCACATCATCTTCTACATCTGTATGACTGTACAATGTCTTCATGTGAAAATCTAACATCAAGGCAAGATCCTAAAGGAGTCTTCTGGAGCACCAAGAAAAATGGTTTAGAGGTATAATTAAGGAGTTGGTATCGGACTTTAACGTGTAAACTGGCATTATGTATGTGTATATACATGTATTGACAAGATATATACACACATCAATTACACCACACATGTGAAAACCAGAATTCATCAGATCATCATATTATCAACCAACTGTGCTCACTGGTATTAAAAAAAAAAATTTCTTCAACAGAATACTCAGAACTGCAACAAAATAAGCATGCCACCTATTTCAGAAACTCACTACATTGAGATTTTTGAGGGGGAAAAAGTCCTGATCCTTTTAAATTCAGACTGCTTCCGTATCCAGACAGCTTCCTGTGATTCAGGTACCACATTTCCATGAACCTACTCAGATTCTTGAGAGAAGCTGGGAGGACTATTTGTGGAAGGTCTCGCTGTTATTTGTGGAGAGACTCTCGCTGCCATCGGAAAATGAAGTGTGAAGGTATCAATTAGATAAGAAACAGCCAGTTCATTTTAAGGAACCACCTCCAAAAAAGAAATGCCTGATTTGAAAATGATCTGTAAATTTAGAAGCTTCTAAATAGTCAAAGCAGTGGAGGTAGAGAGAACTGCTTTATTTTACCTATGATTCATGTTTGTGAGTTACATCTCAGCTTGAGTCATACTGGGCATGCAGACTTCTTGTTAGTACCCACTGATCCTGGTATAGGAAAATATCCTCAAGAGCAGACTATCAAGAGTACTAAGAGAATGAAAACGAATGCTTTGACTGAAGGTCCTCAAATAAATGCAGGTACAAATGTAGTATTTTGTCAACAAAAGGTTAAGGTTTTACCAACTTACAAGATCAGCACCTACATGTGGTAAGGAATGAAGACTGCATCTACCCTTAGATATTCTGATTGATTAACAGGAAGGGAAGATGTTTCTAGAATTCTGCTTCTCTCATAAACTCCCAGCATAAACTCAAACCTGAGGACACCCTCAGATGCACCAAACTTGTTAGGGATCACGTAGTTATCATCTTTGGAGGGTAAGCAATGACAGCATTTGTTTTCACCTGAAGAAAAAAATCTGGCTTCCTATTTCAATTAAGAAATAATGCTGGGCATTGGGAAAGTTTGCTTGGTTTTTAAAAAGCTAAAAATTTAGAATTTTTTCCTAACCCTTTCTCAAGTGGTTTTAGAAGTTTCCATTATTTTAACACAACTGCAGGGAAACGTGTTTGAAAGGTTACTGGAAGTGACAGATGGGCTTATTTTGAAATAAAATTAAGCCTGTGGTACTACTGAAAGGAAGTCATGAAATCCAAAATTAAACTGGACAGAATGGTCTGAAGCTGTTTTTGTTCTTTGTTCAAGGAAGCACAAAGAGTGGGAGGCTGATGCAAGGCCACCACTTCTCACGTGAATCCCCTCACTCGGGTCAATTTGTCTTGAACTGATAAAACTCTCTTCTTAACACAACATGCGCCCCCACATTTTAAACATCCATATACCTACTGTCAAATATCCAGACATGTCCTTCACTGATATCACTAAGAATACAACTCCAATCTTTTATAGCTGTGACTTTATAAAGACTTAAGGAAGAAAAAACATTTATAAACAACTGTGTTGAGCTATTAAAAACCCCATTTTAGGATGAGATGGAAAATGCCCATTTGAAAAAGACAACGTGCATCCCAGACATGTGAAGAGACCATTCGCCCTGGGATGGCTTTGCCAGCCGTTCTCAGGAGGAGCCACGCCTACCTTATTGTGCTCATACTTGTAGGGGATCTTGAGGGTGTCCATGGCTCGGATCATAGCCTGCATGGCCGTGAAGATGTTCTGATACACCAGCTTGGTGAAGCCCCTTTTGTCTTCATCAGAGTAGCCCGACCCATGGATGATTCTCATCTGCTTGATAAATGTACTCTTGCCACTCTCTCCTGTCCCTGTAAGAGAAATGAGAGCAGCTCATCAGACCATGAGACCTTCCCACAGTCTTCCAGATAACTACTCTATTGATAGGAACAGGCCTTGGATGTGGCATCCTGAGGGCCTGCTGAGAGAAGCATCACAGGAAAGCGGCATCACCAGAGGCGGAAATGCCACTGAGGGTCACACTCGGCAAGATGAGAGGAGTGGGACTCCAGCTCAGAGGAAGAGTTTAAAAAAAAATAAGCCACTGTCACCTTTTTGGAAGCCACTCAGCATGGAATTTCCATAGTGATTTGTAACCATGTATCTTATAAGAAACACAATGAAAACAGCATGGTTTGAACTGAATAAACACTTGATAAAGCTCTCTTCCCTGGAGTATGTCTGAAATGCTTCCAGCAGACTGGGATGTTTAGCCAGGATCTGGATCTGGAGATGACGATGCAATTATACAAATGCTGTTCAGACATCAGTAAGACAACACGCTGGAAAATTTCTAGACACTTTCTCGTACTTTAAAATGGGATATATGGAGAGCACAGTATCCAGGCAAGAATCCAGATCCTTCAGGACAACAAGTAGCAACTGCATTTATTTCCAGGGAGTTTGGTTGGCTGAGTTATGTCAAGGAATCACTCAATTCAGGAGAGATACAGGAACTCTCCTTCTTCCTGCCCACTCTTAACTATGACACAGAAATTCACCGTTACTGATTTTTTTTCTCCTGTGTTCTCATTTTCCCCTGCTTCAGTATTCCTTTTTGGTCACCATGAGCCTGCAGAGAATCCATAACAAAGCTACAGATGCCCACTGGGGAGGTGGAAAGACAGAAAGATGAGATCATTTCGCTGAATGACAACGTATTTCTTCTATGGTGAATCTGAAACTATAAATCTAAAAACTTCATTTTTTAAAACGTAAGTTGTTTTGGAGGGTGTGCAACTTAACTACATTTCTGAATTATCTCTCACTCACTTTCAAATCTTGAAATTTTCAAAATAATAAACGTCCTCCCCTAACAATGTGGGGAAAAAAAATAAAAGCTTTTAGGATAGTAAGCATAGCAGAATATTATAAAATAATAATAATAATAATAATAATAATAATAATAATAATACTCAGGATGACTGCAGCGCCCTTGCTGCCATTTCCCATCAACAAGACATTAAAAAAAAAAAAAAGGCGGAAAAGGAGAACTGAAAACTAGGAATACAACATCTGTCCTAATTTTGTTTGGTTTTTCTGGTGGTTGGATTTCATTACTATCCTTATAAACAATCATGAAAAATTCAAATAAGTATTACAGTTTTCATAGAAGCATTCTTAAACGACTACAGATGTCTTGGTAAACACAGAAGCCTCACATAATTACAAAGATGATTTCTAGCCCCATAGTCCTGTAGTCGCCAACTACTTTATCCTTTTCATATGACCTTTAATAAAGTGATCTGGAATTTCTCGAAATATAAAGTTAACACTTCCTTTATCATTTTCATATGATTTTAATAAAGTGATTCAGAATTCCTTGAAGTATAAAGTTAACACTGCAATATGAATGCGATCAACACATTTTAACAAGATTAATGCAAGGAGTTAAAAATGAACATATAATTCCATCCATGAATACTGGGGTGGGGGGGGTGGCAGTGGGCAATATCTAAAGAGAAGTATCCCTAATGGAAATAAAGCTAGGAAATTGTTTCTCATTAGCAATCAACAATTTATAGGAAGAAACCAGTATCTTTACTTTTCTGAGCAATTCAAAGTACGGAAGAAAAAGATACAAATTGCTTCTCTGCTTATTATCCTTATCCCAGATATTCTTATCCTTATCCTCGCTTTGAGGGCCCAACTAGAGACATAATCATCAAATCAGAACCTCTGCCAGTTTTTTCCACACCAAAAACAGGAAGAAACCTTAATATGTGAGGTTAATGACATGAAAAGGAAAGGAAAGAGAGTCAGGCAAGAGGCTGCCTTCTCCTAGCTGGAGGCTTTTATATACTCCCCCCACACCCAAATAAAATCAAGAAAGTAAAGAGAAGACATCTAAACCATGCTGGCTTGTTTCAGTTAAGTCATGCTGGGCAAGAGCAGTCAACACCAGGCCGCTCTTGGGATCTACACTAAGCTCCTGGGCATCACACTAATGACTCCAAATACAGGTGGAACATAGCACCCATGAATGAATGGAATGGGGAGAGAGGGAAGGAAGAAAGAATCCAAAACCCAGCTCCAAAGTTAGGATATTTTCCTGTTGCCCCGGACACACCCCGGGATCCTCTCTCTCCATTTTATCATCTTGCTTGGTGGCCCAGGAGGCTGGCTGGGAAGGATTTCACATCAACAGCTCTCTTGGCTTCAGTCTTCTTGGGTTTAATCCATATGAGACACCAGGGAAAGACCACAGAGCAGGAGGATGAGAAAGGGGCATCAATCTCCCCAGTTTGCTCTCTGCAAGGGCCCCACAGATACGCTGTGTCCCCTTCAAGAGTCCACAGCTCCTGCCAGCTGGCCCTCTCTGGGTTCCTGCACCTGCTCCCTCGCCTTTCTGGCCCCTGGTTACTGAACTCATTAGCTTTTACTGGTTGCCTCCACTGGATTAATACCTTGTAAACAATCCCTGAACAAAACTCTTCTCAGGCACCTCGCTGGAGTGGACCATTTGCTTCCTGCTGAGACCCTGACAGGTGTAAATACCCAATGGAGAGCAGGGGCAGCTTAATAAATGAATGAATAAGAAGGCAAGGGAAGAGGGGGGTGCCTTTTCTTCTTCTGCCCTTTCTCTATAAATCTTATTTATAAGGTGCTCTCTTGTTTACAAAGTACTTCCTTTTTTTTTCTAGTCACTAATTCACTCTTTTAACACTCTTCTGGAAGCCAACCATGATGATAGAGCCCAAACTAGAATACAAGGCTCCCGACTCATCTCCAAAAGTGCTAATAAATCTAGTACTTGTCCCCCAGAGCATGTACACTTGAGCCCACCTGCCCTCCAGCAACACACACTTCAAGACTAATCTCTAATCTGACAGGGCAGATGGTGGTCTCCACCCCCTGAATATCCTGTCTCTCTTGTAAAGGAAACTAAAGAAATTTGTGTTCGAGGCATGTGGACACAGAGGGGGAGGGGGAGGGTGAAATGAATCCGAGAGTAGCTCGGACATAGACACAATGTCATGTGTGAATAGATCGCTAGCGGGAAGGGGCTGCACAGAGCAGGGAGTTCAGCTTGGTGCTCTGTGCTGACCTAGAGAGGTGGGATGGGGGCCAGGAGGTTCAGGAAGGAGGAGATCTATGCATACATATATTTAACAGCCGATTCACTTCGTTGTACAGCAAAAACTAATACAATATTGTAAAGCAATTATGTTCCAATAAAAAAATAATAAAGAATAAATCCATGTTAAACCCTTTATAAACTGCCACTGTGAAATACACTTGACACCACCCTCTCAAAACTCCGAGACAGATGACTTTCCCCTCATTCCATGGAAAAGAAAAGGCCTTGGAGAGTGAAGCATCCGAGCAAAGATGACAAGGCTGGTGAGTGCCAGCACAAGGGCTCGAGCCCAGCCTGCACCTGCCCAGCCTGGGTTTGGCGATACTTTCACAATCACGGCTGTGCAAATCCGGGATAATTAACTTCCACTGCCTGTAGTCCAAAAATGTCTCCACGTGGTCTTGACTACATTCAACTTTCATCCATCTAACCGAATTCTGAATTTCCAAATATTACTTCAATTAATAGTATTTTGAATCTTGGTGTCATCTTCCAAGACTGGCCATCCCTCCCAAGCAAATTTCACATACACATTTAATACTCACTCATGCTTTGATGCTATTATATAACTGCAGCAAATTAAAAGTGAAGACAACGCTTCACTTAAGAGAAAATCTGTGTAACGCAAATGCTACAGGTAGAATGATAAAAGTAGTCAATGAAAGTATTATTCTGTACTATGGAATAAAACATCAACCAAGCAAAAAATTAAGCTTTTTTGTTCCAGGAAGAGTTCTATCATGGGAGATAAATGAACTATTCTTCACAAATGTGTAAACCAAATTTCATGTTCTTCTTCTATTTTCATCAACTTATATAATATTCTTGGGGTTTGAAATGGACATTTTAAAAATCTACTCTGGATTAGAATTTCTAAAATCTGTTTAAAAAACAAACAAACAAAAAACCCCAGCTGTTCCAGATGATAAAAATGACGTCGTTTCCTAAGGCCACATGGAAAGCATAATGAGAGACTTCACAATTCTTTATCTCTGAATGAACGAAAGCACACTTCTACCAGTAGGTTGCTCTGTGAATCCAGTGCTAGCTAATCTCTTTTCACACCACTGAGGATAAGCAATTTTTGACCTACCTCAAAAAATACATATCTACTGTTTACAAAGCTACTGATGAAATAAAAGCTAGCAAGGAGCCCTTACATTTCATCTGGGGGTGGGAGCTCCATCTTTGCTAATTTGAATATATCTCCAATCATATTATGTAATAAGAAGTATATCAAGACATACAAGGAAGGATGTGAGTCTAGAAAACTTTTGCCTTTCATCTTCATTAGTCTCTATAAATATGGCTGAAAATTTTCACCAAAAGTTATTTGTACCTTTTGTCAAGTACTATGCCTTATCTTATCTCAGCCCATCAAAATACCCAGAAATAAGGCTATTTAAGAATCATGCTATGGACTTCCCTGGCAGTCCAGTGGTTAAGACTCTGCACTTCCATTGCAGGGGACAGGTTTCAATCCCTAGTCAGGGAATTCAGATCCCACAAGCTGCATGGTGTGTCCAAAAGAAAAAGAATCATGCTATTTAAAAAGGTCACTTCCTCTAGAAAGTACAATTGGTTTTGAGGGATACTGGTTTTCTTCCCTACCCACTGGATCAGGATAAGGCACAGAAAGCAATCCCCAGTTCATTTCACATGTCTTTCCATCAGGAAAACCATAATATATACA